ATCGCAGTTTGCAGTTTCCATCATCGATTATTCCAAACCCGTAGTTGCGCATATACCGCATATAAACATAATAATACTACTACTACTACTACTAGTGCAATTGCGAGTAGTAAAGAGAGAAAGAGAAGTGGGGGTAGGTGGGTTCGAGAGGATTGGAAAGTAGGAAGGGTGCGGGAGTGGTTTGAGATCGTTCGTTCGAATCGGAGGACGATTATTTTGTTATATCCTGGGAATTATTCCGTTTGACACAATCTCGTGAATTTCTTCCCTTGGATATTCATAAAAGGTTAACTCGTTCGTTCCGTTCCGTTCCGTTACGTTCCGTTCTGTTATACACCGTAATCGAAATGATTGAACCTGCTTCCGGACTCATTTTTATTCTTTTTCTCTCTTTTTCTTTTCTTTGTAGATCAATTTAATATAATACAAATCTCTTTTACTTAAACGTAAATAAACTTGAGATTGATTTATAAACCAAATAAAATAGTTCAATGAATTTATCTTTTGATTTTCTTTTGTTTATTCGTCATATCAAAAAGATAAAATTAATTTAATAATTATTTTAAATATTCAAGGTTTTTGAAAAGGTTCTGTTTCCTGTGTGTGTGATTTTTCTTAATTATAAATTAATTATTTAAATAAAGAAGAAAAAAAAGAAAATCATTTCAATCAGTTTGTTGCTGATAAGTGGAAGTCTTGTTAGATTAATTCTTTTCTTTTTTTTTTCTTTTCTTTTTTTACTTTCTTTCTTTCTTTATCTTGAATTGCATTCTTCTTTTTCTTTTATTTCTCGTATAAAAAAAAAAACAGATTGAATTGAGGTAGCACAGGAATGTTAGCATGTATATATATATATCACTAAATAGCAGAATTTTCACATTGAAAAGTTTTCTCATTAGCGAATCCATTTTACATACGATTACAAAGTCACAGAAACGAGAGTGAGATAGTGAGAGTGAGAGAGAGAACGTAGTCAACCGCGTTTACTGACCTTAATCTGCTCTTTCGGATAACTTGTAAACCGTGTATCATCCAGATCCAAAGTAATACATCAAATAAATTACGTGAAAGCACCACACACGCGAACAACACAACGAGAACAAAGCAAATTCGTTGTAATACTTACTACCGGTTACTGATTTATTAACAACTATCATCCTTCCACCATTTTACTTCTCTTGTTTTTATTCTTTTGCCTGTTTTTTAATTAAATTTTTATTTATACAAACACACGATTACGTAGTACAATTATTTTCATGAAATACAAAAATATTCTATACCTAAATATATTTTTAATATATATATATATATATAATTTGTCAAGGACAAGTAACGAGATTTGATCTAATTTACAAAAATAAATTTTTATGAACAACAATTAAATAACAAAAAATATATAACTCTATCAAAATGAAGTATACTTTAAGTATGAACAATTATTCATTCATTCATTTTATTTGTACACTCTCTTCACTGATAATATCCCCACCTCTTCAATAATTCCTTTCCCACTCCTTCACTGACCAATTCCCCACCACTTACGTCTACGACATCAATGTATCTTCCCCTATCACTTCCGTCCACCTCTTCACTGACTCTTCCAGTACCATTGGGATTCCCCACTAATTCCCTGGGGGTCATCTGTAGTTCTCCAAAATTTCCCCAGAGATCCCACAATTCCCCCAACCCCAAATCATCATCTTCCTACTCTCTACTTCCCCTTCCCCTATACCCCTTCAATAAGTTCAAATGTTCTGCTTGAACATATTTACAAAATCTCAAATGTTCCGAGAATTTACTGAAATCTACAACAATATAAACAATTATATTATAAATAAATTAATGTAATAAAAACCTAGCTGTATACGAATGCAACTAAGTGTCAAAATTTCAAGACAATCGGTAAAGTATTGCACTTTTGAAGATTAGAGGTTAGGAACAAACGAAATCTACATTTTAATATATATAGATATATAAATTAAAAAAAAAATAGATATAAATATATGTAGATGAACGATATGATAAAATGTGATAATTTCATGCTCGTTAACTTTGACATTTATGAAGGTATTTATAGCATAGAATTGAGCTTAGTAGTAGTCAGAGTACTACGATACTATCGGTATAGGCGCCTCCAATCATTTCCCAATTAGCAGCTGATTGCGTACAGTCTCGGATAGAACTTTGGTACGCGTTGTTGAACCGACCAAATTGGCAAATGGGCGCTAGACTGGGTGAATTGAGAATGGAAAGGGCTACAACGAGAATAGAGAGAGATAGATAGATAAATAGATAGATACATAGATAGATAGATAGATAGATAGAGAGAGAGAGAGAATATAAGAGAGAGAAAGAGAGAGAGAGAGAAAGTGTAGCTACAAGAGAACACGATTTGCTCGTTAATATTCTACGATGTGGAACGAACCGATAGCAATATCGGTGATCGCGCCTATTTCGATCGGTTATTGCAAATTTTTATAACTATTGCTATATATATATATATATATATACTACTACAGTTATCTAAATATATTAATATATATATGAAAGAAATAACTGTTGATGTTATTGCATGTATTGCATTCGTACAATTGGGATATATATATTTATAGGTTATGCATATGCATTTAGAATATTTTTGTATAAAATATATTTAAGAATGTACATATATATGTACTTAGTTATCTGAGTGTGTAGATATATTAAGTTATTCGGAAAGTAATTCATTAATCATGTTTATCGATACCTAACCTCACTTCAAATCTCACGATCATTTTACTTTTTAATCATAGACAATTTATACATTATAAATAGACTTGATTAGTATGTCAGCAAACCTAACCTGTATGACTATACATCTAGTGTCAATTTTATTCTTATATTTATTATACAAACTTTTTAATTTCAATAGTTTGTTGAGTACACGTGTACTGGACAAATTGTTAAATTTATTTTTCCTCAAAAACATGTAATTATATTAACAAATTTGATTATAAATTTTTAAATTAGTTTTTTCATGTATTATAGAATTAACTTTTGATCGCTAGTACCATCAGTTACAGGGTCATCTTGTATATTGGAGTTTTCTATATATTGGAATGTATATAAAGTATATATATATATTGGTAGAAAGAAGGATAGAGATAACGAGCAACATGGGAGATAGTAACGAGCTCGTGACAACCAAGTTTGTACTCGTTAAAGGACGTTTTCATCCTATCTACTGATTTAAAGATTCCAACTAACAATAAATCGTTTTCCAAAGATTTTGTTTCCTAAACAACCGATAACATTAAGAAAGAAATAAAAGAATATACGTCTGTACATGTATTCTGTTACTACATGTATATGTATGTATGTATAAGTTACTGTATATGTGTGTGCATGTATATGTGTGAAGAGGGGTTATGAAAGAAGACAATAGATTGAAAGATTTTCTCTTATAGTACAGCAAAGTTATGTGAAGTTTCATCGTCTAGTCTATTTGCGGTTTATTCTCGGCACTTCTTCTTCTTCTTCTTATTCGTCTTCATATTCTTCTTCTATTCTTCGAGTTTTAAGAGAAGAGAAAACGGAAGTTATTGCGCTTATAAGAGAAAGGATACGAAGAAAACTATATCTGACGAAAGTGGGTTCCACCCACTCCTCATGATGGTGGAATGGGTATAAATACCGTATTACTCGTAAAAAATGATCTCCAGATAAAATATTGTACACCCGTTATAAATATATTTCTTCATTTCAAATTATTTTACTTCTTTCATTATAGATTAGTTTTTAAGACAACGTACAAACTACTCTAATCATGTGTAGATTGATTTTTCATAATGTGATTTTCATTCAATAATTTATATCTCCCATTTTTATTTATTTTTAAATAAAATAATTATTTACAAAATGGATGCTAATGTTTTTGTCATTAAAAAAAAATTTATATATACATTTAATTATTTATTAAATCATGAGATTGAATTGATTGAACCAGTTAACTGTGGCGCCCTCATTTGAGAGCGTTTTGTGTCGCGGGAATCGAGCCATGACGAGTATACTCGTCAATCACAGTTAACTGGTTAATTCAAAAAAAAAAAAGATTGGATTACTAAATTGTTTAAATAATATTTAAACAAAAGAAACACGAGTGAGTTCAAGGTGAACAACTAAACGGTTTCGATTCATAAAATTCATTTTCACGTTTGAGCGAATTCGAACTCGAATAAGGTGATGGTGATGGTTGATGGTGATGGTGATGGTAAATCGGAGAAAATCTAGGAAATCCAAACTGTGCCTCGTTAAGAGACATTGTTGAGAGAAGAGAATCAGTAACCGTTTTCCCTCTTCACCCCAACCCCCTTCTCATTGTCCCCACCGTTTCTATTTCTCACGGGAGATACTTCTCATGCTCTTTTTTTTTTCTTTTTTCTAATCCTCGGACAATAGACCCGTCGTCGAATGAGCTCGAAAATCGCGATTTAAAAAAAAAACCAAAAGGCAAAGACAAAAATGAACTGAACTGAAGCTCGGGTTAGAACAGATAGTCAGATAGATGGATAGATAGGTAGCTAGCTAGCTAGCTAGCTAGATAGATAGATAGATAGATAGATAGATAGATAGATAGATAGATAGATAGATAGATAGATAGATAGATAGATAGATGGGGGATGAAGAAAAATGGGAAAGATGAAAGCTGGAAATCGCATTTTCAGCAGGTTAAGCGTTTTTAACGAATCCTGCACCGAGTAGTGTCACCGAACTCGAACTGGAGCATCCCCTAAAACAAAAATAAAAAAGAGTAAGAGGACCAACCCCAAATAGATAGATAGATTAGATAGATAGATACATGGTTAAATAAAAAAAAAAAGATAGGAGATAGAAGTGAACAACAAAATGACATTTTTAGCAGGTTAAGTGTTTAAAAATGTTTTTAACGAATCTCTTGCAGTTGTCCTATCATAGTTGAGTAACGAACATGGAATCATTGTTGTTGTCATTGTCTGTTTCAGAGTCTAGCGACCTAGCCGGCAGGATCTATTGTTCTCTGGGGAGCCAGCAACACGCCAGCTGAGCAAAAGCAACAGCAACAGTAACTGCAACTGCAACTGTAACTGTTACAACGACATCAACAGGAATAGAAACGAGGTTAATGGGAACGACATTGGATAAGCATGAACGAGTCGATGATGCGTTAGAAAATCCTATTGTTGGCCGATTAGTGACGATGATCGAGAGGACTATTCATGAAATGGACTATCTGCAACTGGTGAAAGTACGGAATAAAAGGACACGTTATGCGGTAAAAGGGAAATTGGTGAATTTTCAACACCACATGGAAAATTGTCGTATTCCATGAAAGGAAATAAAAAACAAATAGAATCGGTTGCTGTTTCACGTCCTAAGTTAATAAATATTTGTATTAAAATATTTTCCTTGTCGCGAGACCAAAGTAAAACAAAATCTCATCGTTACTGTAAATATTTAATGATGATGATGATGATGATGATGATCTCTCGGTTGTTTGTAAAAGATCTAAGAGTAAGCCTTTTTTCGAACAATAAAAAAAAATAAAATAATAAACAAAAATGGATTGACGTTTATTGGGTCAGTATTTTTTAAAATATAATTGATCAGTATTTATAATCAAATATGAACATATAACAAATGAAGTATTTTAATACTGAAATTATCACAAATAAGTTATAACAAAGTTAGTTTGACTATTTGATGATCCTTAATATTGTTTTCTAAAATTAAAATTTATTATTTATTTATATCAACACTTTTGTTTCAAACTTATATATAAACTTAACCTAAAAATGCTGTAATTATTAATTTGAATTAATATACTAAATAAAAAAAATAAAAAACGCTTTAATATAATTCTAAATAGTTTAAGTATTAAAATCAAATGGTCAATAATTATAGAACAAAATATCATTATTAATACTGTATCAATATGAAATAATTAAACAAACCAACATCAATAATAAATATTGACCGATTTCAAATGAAAAACAAACGTATAATCTCAAACCAATTATTAATTACAATTCGAGAACAAAATATCGAAGAAAAATATTAACAAATAATTATCACAAAATGAATATATATATATATATATATAAAATACTGATCGAATAAATTCTTTCCCAAAAATGAAACACAACTCAATTAAAAATAAATATAATGAAATAAAAAAAAAATAAAAAAACCAACACAAAACTTGACGTCAATAAAATCGTAAAAAGTCATTAATCGTTTCTTTGTGTGTATACTCATGGCGATAAACTTATCGTGCACGAATAGTTTCATTACCAAGAAGAAGGTTAGTTTGAAATGTAGTTGAATCAAGAAGGGGTTAGGGGTTGGAGGTTGGAGGTTGGGGTATAATGTAGGAATTGAAGAAGTAAGGTTTTGTTAGTATATATGTATAGAAAGGGTTTGGATACATACATCTCGGAATTCTCCAATTGGCAGGCACGCGTCTTAGCGTGTTAGGAAGGAATTAGCGTGAAACTTAGTACTCAAACTCGACTCTATGCAGTCCGTTTTCACAAGGCATGCTTTTCTTCGAGACAGCTGATTTATCCATCGTCGTGTAACAGATATTGTCGAGAGTATTTTAAATGGTCTTATCTTTTATCGTTACATTTTACAATTAGTTGAATAACTCGCACACACATACACACATAACCGAGTGTATTGAATTTTCTAACGAAAGAAATTCATTTGAAACTCGTCAGTCTTTCTCTTTCTCTCTCTCTCTCTCTCTCTCGGATTATAAAAAAAAAACCTCCAGCTGCACCCAACCCCCGTTATCAAATAAAAGAAAGGAAAGAAAGAAATAGAGAGAGGAGAGAAGGTTGGGGGGAAAGAGAGAGAAAATGAAAAGGCGATGAGTGGAAAATAACGTTGGTGTTGAACAGCTAAGTCAAACGAAAGGGAAGAAAAGAAAAGGACAAAAACACACACACACACACATAGAAATACGACAAAAGCGATGAAATCGAAATCGATCGATGGATCGATCTTTATCGATCGATCGAACGATCGATTGAAGAAAAATTCCCCCTTTTCAGGATTTACGTGTCCCAGGTCCTAGCCCCGAGTCTCCTCTCTCGCCACGAGATTTTTAATTAAGTTCTATCGTTTTCAAAGGATCCTTTCAATCGGCTTTCCTATGCATCAACTGCATCACCGAGGTCAAAGCTCGATTCTTGATTATTACTTTCGAACCTTGCTTCGTTCATCGTCTTCCATCAAATCTATTTCTCTCTCTTTCTCTTTCTCTTTCTCTTTCTCTTTCTCTTTCTCTTTTTCTATTGTCTCAATTCTTCTTTTTTTTTAATTTTCTACCTACATTCAAAAAGCACATAAAGGTACACATGCATATACACACACATATATATGAGTACAATTTAACATAGAAATCCATACAAATATTCAAACGCATACGAGTGAACATAATTGAAACCACATATACATATATACACATACATATGTGTTACCGTTAAAGACCTAAATTGGAGAATGTTAAGATTCACATGGTTCGAAATATTAATATATAAGAATAAAATCAAATATTACACCTAAGTATTTAGTATGTATTAATATTCACTATGTGAACCTTGACATTTTCCAATTTCACGGTAAAACATATATATATATATGTTAATGTATGGGTGTGTTAAACATCGTATAATTTCGCCATACCACCGTAACCCTAAAACCGCCATTTTCCCCCGTACCTACCCCCTTGTACTACCCCTAGTATTTCCAAGCCCCCACCCCGTCAACGGTATTTCCAACGTTCTCGCGAACGACGGTCGCGGTGGTTAACGAGACTAACGCGCTAACGATGCCCAGCGTTAATTACCAACCCGGACAGGACGCCTAATCGTCGAGCGAGTGGACACGCTAATTACGCGCGTATCCGACAATCGGCCGGAGTCGTGAATCGCACGGTCAGAGATTGAATTCCTCCTTTCTTCTACCCCGTCGTTCACCGGTCATTTTCAACAGAATATTGGATATAATTGATGCGATACATACTTAACCTAAAACTCTATTCTCACTAGCTATAAAATGCCCATTTGAGGTTAGGTTCATAATTCGATTGTTTTTTGATTTGATGTATTTAAATATATCGATTCTACGTAATATTTTATATAATTGGTTGTGCAATACTTAACCTAAAACTTTATTTTAACAAACTATGAAATACCAATTTGAGGTTAGGTTCATAATTCGATTGTTTTTTGATTCAATTTGTTCAAAGTTTAAGCAAAACAATATTGTTCCTAAATATATTATCAGTTTTACGTAATATTCATCATTTAAATTGAATTAGTTTGTAAAATAATTGTTTAATTTGCTAAATATTGTATTGTTGTTGAAGAATTATATTTAGAAAATCAAATTGTTACAGTTCAATCGTTTCAATCTAATTCGTTATATATTTTACACGTGATTAATGTTAATTATACGACAAGTTTATATATTTACGAGTTCATTTAATTTCCAATAAAATCTAAATATTATTCAAATAATAATTTATCTAAACAAATTAACGAGAATAATCACAAATTATGTTTCTAAAAGATTAAAAATATACAAACGTAATTGCTATCAATTTTCCTCGAGATTTTTAATTTATAAAAAATTAAACCATACGAAGTGTTATAAATTTTCTATCCTCGTTCAAACTCGTGCGATAATCGATCTGTTTAAAACGTTATTAACAGAGAAATATATTTTTAACTCGTGCGTGAATTTTAATTTCTTTTTTTTCCTTTTCATTTTATTATTTTTTTTTTCGTCTTTTTTTAGTAATTCACATACAAATAAACATGCTTTTACGAATCAAGCTAATTGCTAATAAATTCGTTAACGGTAACCTACGAACCGTATAAAAGGGCAAATATCAATGTTTGTAATATCTCAGTGAACGAGCAACGCAATGGTTGATCAAGCGTGTCGATTAAAATGCTTTATAAATAATCATCGAAATATTTTTTATATATAATACATACACACATATATATTATATATTTTTTCTTTAACATTTTTGTTTATTTTTTTTTTTTTTTTTTATTACTTTTACAGAAACGTTATCAGAAAATATAGTTTTCGGGGGATAAAGGGGCAATGGCGGTAGCGATGGTGAGGAGTGGGGATGGCACAGAGGAAATGACGGGAGTGGGGGGTGGAGGATTGAATGCTATAGGTCGAGTGTACGTACGAACGCTGCGAAACAACGATAAACAAATCCGCAAATATACGCGACGTTGCGCGAAAGAGTACGCTATCTACTTCGGTTTTCCCAACGAGCTCACCGATCGTAAAATATCGAGAGAAAACGAGAGAGAGAGAACGAGAGAGAGAGAGAACGATAGAGAAACTAGTGTGCTACAAAATACAATAAACGTGCATAAATATCCGCTTAACTGGTGGCTCGTTGAATCCCACATTTAAAACTGATCCATCCCATCCTACAAAATCCATTCATCCCTTCCTTTCTTTTAACACACCTATACACATTCAACTTCATACTAGGATTTATATTTACAAATTTTGTAAAAATTATTATCAAAAACAACTATAAGAATTGAATACTATCTAATTTCAAATATGATCAAAGATGAATTTTGTCTCGTAAAATCTTACATCCTAACTTATTCATCCCTTCTTACAAACCAACCTTCTAATTTTGACACACATATACACTTTCAACTTGATTTTTAAAAAGCTATACAACTCTCGAATAAAATTTCGGATATGATTGAAGATGATTGTAAAGAAACAAATTTCGAATGAAGTAATCTCGAATTAATGTTAATTAATAAACGAGAGACCTTGCGTGTGATCCATTGATCGAGTTTCATATAAACCACAAAAAAAAACTGTAAGAAAGAACAAAAAAAAAAAGTCAACCCCAAATGGAATGGCTCAAAAGAAAAATTGCGTACATATTATCAGCTTACGAGCTTGCATGTGTGTGCACACGTGTCTGTAAGTATGCGTACGAGTATGTGTGTGGAATCGTATGAGAGTAATGTCAAACATACACC